AAGGGACAGGATTGAGATCTTGATCGCCTGCCAAAACAAGGATAGATAGCACATGGCTCAATCAATAGAGCTACTATATCTAATAGTATATCTCTGCAGCAGATAGTTCAGCATATGCTTGTATTCATATTTCATATCAGACAGCGATGCAAGCTGCCTTGAAGATCAAACTATGAAACTACTCAATAATTGGCTGACTAGGGCCTTAACAGATCTCTGGTTCTAAAGAGTACACTATTAGCAGCAACATTCAATCCAAAGCTGAGTATACAGTAACTTGTTTAGTCTGTTAATGCCATGTAAATGTGCTCGGTTCTCACCATTGACGGAAGCATTTCATGCACATAGCATGGCTGCAGCTGGGTAGCACCACCTTGCTATTCATCTCCATGCAAATGCCACACTCTTCCTCCCTTTCCATGTCGATCTCGGAAACAGGCCTCTTGCCCTCGTCCTCATCTCTCCTCCGGTATCTCTCCGTGCACACCGCCTTCTGCCTCCGGTCGTCGACGTCGCTGATCCCCTTGGGCAGTTGCATAAGGGAGGGAAATATAACAGCTGCAACAAGCAACAATGCACATCAATATCACAAGACCAAATTACAAACAGGCACTTTTTTCAGTTGCTGTTTTACAAAGTAAAGCTCTTTTTTTTCCCAGTTGTTGTTGTAGAACACTTGCCATAAAATTCTCTGATGCTTGCTTTCCTCTCGTGCGTGGACATGGTGGTACTCCCATCCACATAAACCTGCACAACAAAGTTTGCTTGAGCACAACAGCGAAAGCACAGCACAGAACAGCATCAAATCCTGAACACCACGCCACGCCACATCATAGGAACTGAGCCTTTTACCTGTGTGTCATTATAAAAGATAGTCGCGGCCTACGTGCCACTAAAAAGTTCGAATGCACCTATGTGCCATGACACTTTATTTTTTTGCCTCTTAAGCCATTCCGTCCACTTTTCCATCTAACGGTGTCAATCTGTGTTGGAAAAAGTCCCAAATACCCTCACGTTGCTTCTTGACCGTACCCTTCTTCGTTTCCTCCGCCGGTCGTCTTCGTCCCGTCCTCCACCGTGCGCCGGGGCCGGGGGCGCAACCGGCCTCGCGGACGTCAGGGTCGGGCGGAGCCTAGTCGCTCGCTGCCTCGAGCCTCCATCGCCGGCACGCCCACCGAGGGCACCCAGCGATTCCACCGCCCCGGCAACCGTGACGACGACATGCGATGGTCGCCGACGCGTCGCCCGCCACTGAGCAGCGTCGCCGCGCCAATGCCGCGCGAGCTCCCTGCCCACCTGAACTCGTCGGACCCAGCCCAGGCCTGCGCGCGCCAAGGCCACAACAAGCCGAGGATGCACCGCCCGACCTCACAAGCGCCCCGGCACGGACACCTTAAGACGAAGACGACGGGCGCCGGGGACGCCAGCCAGCGGTGCGGCGACGGTCGGAACCCGCGCGCCTTTGGTATTGGGGAGCTTGGACCACAGTCGCCAGAGCCAGCTGCAGCTGCTGCGACCATGAAGCGCGAGGCCTCGACCATGCGCCGCCGCTTCTCGGGGCGGCCAGGCGGGTCGGGTCGGGGTCTCGGCAAGGCGGCGAATGGCCGAAGCGGACGCCGGCGCATCGGGGCCGCGGCCAAAGCATCGCGGATGTGAGAGGGAGAGGGGAGCCGGGCTTGCCGGAGTCGAGAGGGGCTCGCCGGAGTTGGGAGGGGGCTCGCCGGAGTCGGGATGGGGGTCGCCGGAGTCGGGAGGCCGGCACATCGCGGAGAGGGCCGCGCGGTCGAAAGAAGATGCCGATGGGGAAAAAATATAGAGAGCAATTTACGCCTTGACAGAAGGGCATTTCGGACGCTTTCACTAACTAGGACCACGTGTCAGGGCTGGCAAAATGTAAAAATCAATCAGAAGGTGAACGAAATGGTTTGGGAGGAAAAAAAAGAAGAAGAAGTAAAGTGTTGTGGCATAGTAGTGTGTTCGAACTTTTTTAGTGGCAGCTTAGTCCACGAACATCTTTTATAATGGTACACCGCTAAAAGGCTCATAGGAACTGATGGAGGAGCAGAAACCACCTTGTAGATTAGGATCCTGAGCAGCCCAAGCGCGCCGGCGAGGCTGCAGTCGGTCCACTGCACGAGGAAGAGGAAGAAGTGGGCGGCGGGGCTGTAGGACATGCGCATCTGGAGGCAGGCCCCGTCGTAGTCCCTCGAGAAATCCGCTGCCCTGTCGAGTTGTTTGAGCAGTCAACACAAGGGCACGCGTGAGGCAGCAGCGGCATCACCCACGCACGCTGCACGCACGGAGCCGAGCGTCGGCAACCACCGGCACCCACCGCTCGCTCATGCGCGCGGCGTGACACAGACATGAGAGCTGAACCGCCACTGTAGCATAGCATCCACCCACCAGGCAACTTTTATTTCGCCCTGATTTTGCTCAGAAATCAGGTGGAGCTGGCAGTCGAGATGGAAGTGCGGCAGGGGCGGCAGCTGCGAGCGTGAAATCGGGGCGGCCGCGATGGAAAAAGCCCCGGAAAAGGAGGAGGAATTGGGGGGCGGGGCACTCACAGGGTGTTGGCGTGCTGGATGTCGGCCTCGAGCACCTTGAGCGAGTCCTTGAACGACTTGCGCATGGAGCAGACGACCATCTCCTCTTCCTCTTCCTCCTCGCCGTGGCGGCCTGCTCCGTCTGGCTCCTCGTGCACACCACCACCCGCCGCTTCAGGCTCCAGCTATCGCCACAGCCACACCATGGAAGAAGTAGCGAGCAGCCGCGCGCGAAGTCCCCCCTAGCCGCCGGATGGCGACAAGGCTCGCTCCACTCCCACTCCCACTCCCACGCACGCCCTGCGGTGCGCGGGGCGGTGCGGTGCCGCCGCCCGCTTTTTGGCTCAGCTCCACTTCACCACTTGGCGTCGCCTCCCTGGCGCTGCTTCCCCTTTGCGCCGGCCCGCTCGTTCCCCGTCCCTGCCCTCTGTTTGTATTCGTTGCGTGGGTGGAGGGAGACTGGGAGAGGAGAGGAGGCCGAGCGGACGGAGGAGCACGGGCACGCGTCCCCCGGGTCCGGGGGCGACGCGACTGACCCGCGGGGCCCAGACGGGGACAGCGCGGCCGCGGCCTCGGCCTCCGTCTGCTTACCCGTCAGGAACTGACAAGCGGGACAGGTGACCAGCGCGGCGCGGCTTGTCAGCGAGAGTGGCTCGGCGGTTCGGTTGGAGAGAGAGCTAGGGGTGAGGGAGTCGGAGTGACATGTGGGCCCGCGGCTGGAGCTGTACTGTTGGAGGGAGGTGGAGGTGGCCGGCGCTCACGTCACGTTGGACCCGTCTATGCGCCGACGACCCCGGAGGTCGCCGTCGGTCGCCGGCCGGGCCCCGGCGGTGGAAGAGGGAGACGGACAGCGGTGGGGACGTTGGAGAGAGCGTGCACGGCGGCTGGATGAAGTTGAAAAGGCGGCGACGGGCGAGCACGGGTTCTTTCCGACAAGGAACCGGGAGACAGTGGCAAACACTGGTAGTAATAAATGTCGGTGCTAATAATAATAATCCAACGAGGAGACAGAGTGTTCTGTCCCTGGGGCCTGTGGGCACATAGACCAGGCGCACCGAACGGAACGGCTAGGCGGTGACGGAACGGGTGGGTGCGGCGATGCCGTCACGCGTTGGGTGGTAGTTACGAACGGGCCTGTTGCTCGCGTACGTCTTCGCTAGAGCGCTCCAGGCTTTGTTTCCAACGAGGAGACAATGTTTTTCTGTCCCTCTCACCTGTTTTTGGCGTATAGACCAGGCGCATATATAAAAAAATAATTAATTACATAGCGGTGACGGAACGGGTTTTAAGACTAGTTAGTCAGCGATGCCGTCACGCGTTGGCGGTAGTTAACAACGGGCCTGTTATAATGTCCGTCTTCGCAAAAAATTTACAATCTAGCCCCAGTCCAGACACTGGTGAACAGCTTGGATGCGCGCACGGCGGATCACCCCACCCGTCTCTTTCGTTCATCCATCTGATTCATTACTCTTTTTCCCTTTATATATATATATATAATGCTCAAAACAGTTCGCTAGTCTGATGAACATTTCTTGCGCGATGAGAACTTAGCGAGCATGGCATGCAACGGGGGCGTGCCGTGCACTCTCTACCTACTTATGTCTAACCGGGATTAAAACCTTGGACTTGGTACCTCATGTTAATAGCCTGTTCATTTCGTCGTAAACGATCGTAGATTATTTACTACTGGTTATTTTAATATGAGAGAAAAATACTATTCCAACTTATAATCCAAATATTATTCTAACTTATAATCCACAATCGTATACGAGCTAGCAAGCTGTAAATCTCTTACGAGACGAAACCTGCACCAAAGCTTCTAGCGTTTTATTTTGCCACGTGCCATTCGAATATAGATCTGCTGGAAGAACTCCGGCCATCCAATTGGTCCACGCCGCCTCCTATTCTCAACCGTTGGATCTGTTTGATCGAGCGGTCGTCGGTTTGGTTTCGTGATCCTTCCGAAGTACTCGTCGTCTCTCCCGTCGCGGGCAAAAGGAAGACAAATCGCCGCCGCGTCTCGAAACCGGATTTTGATCTGGCGTCCGAAACCAGCACGGCAGGCAGCGTATCGACCTTCGCCCCGCAGCAACGGTCATCTGCTCCGCCGGCTCCTCTCGAGCTCGAGCACACCAGCGCCCGCCTCTGCCTAGTAGAAACTAGAAAAGAAGCAGCGGCGCCTGGCGCCTCGGGCCTCGACCTTCACCACGCAGCGGCGCGGGTACGTCCTCTTGCACCTCTCCTCCGCCGTCCATGATTCCGACCCGGCCGGTGGCCCTGATTAGGTAAACTACCCACTATGCGTGCTCTCCATGTGTTCGTTGAAATGACTTTCGTGCTATTCTTCTACCAGCTTCGTCGTCGTGTCTCCCCGCCGCCGCCGCCTCCGCGCGCGGCGGCAGGCCCACCACCGTCAAAGCGGCGCGGGCAAGCTGGGTGCGTTCGTCGCGCGGTCCACTACTCCACTAGATGCTCGCCGATCGCCGAACGTCGCCAACCCGCATCTATGGAGCCGTACCTTGGTCGGAGCGCGTCGCGCCGAGATTTCACGGCCTCAATCGGGTCTCTATGGATGTTGTGCCGTGCAGCGCCGCGGCGCCGCGGCCGTTGCAGCTCGTGCGAGTCGACTGCCCCAATCGGCCCTGCATGAGCAGCAGCCGTGCCCCTGCGCGACGGCCCTCCTCCCCACGCGTCCGCTACGCCTCCGCGTGACCCCTCTGCTCCAGCTGTAACAACTCCTGGCATCAGCCATCCAGAAAACTGCATCTCTGCCGCCATTGTAGCTGCTTGTGGTTGCCACGGCAGAAGCAGACTACTCTCCGAGTCAGCCATTGCATGCTCGCCTGGGAAGTTTCTCAGTTCTCACCGCTACCTGATTTTTTTGCTCTCCGCCATGTCTTCTCAAACGTTCATTCCGGCACCATGTCCTAGCAGGACACACGTTTGAGGAGATGGAAAGAAGAGGTAACAACACAAGCTCCATGGAGTGCACACGTTCCATGAATACTGGTAGCTGGCTAGCTACCCTAGCAGATCATATTCTCTAAGATGATAATGTCTATGATGAAGTTCTTCCGAAGCTTCAGATTTTTTATGTGTCCATAAAATCTGATAGTTGTGATCATGGGTGATAGGGAGGGAGCAGAGTGATAAGCCGACTTTGGTTCTGTTATTATGGAGGACAAAGGGCAATAGCAACGGCACCAAGAGGTGAATTTTTCAAATACCATGACCTGCCTATTAAATTTCTCCTCAATTTTAAGTATGAACATACTTAATCTAAAATGTAAAATTTCCATGTGACAGCCCCATACTTATTTGCATTGGTAGAGTACTCAGAAATTTATCACATAATATTACACAAACTTTTAGGTGCCTTCATCAGTTTTTCTTTGCCCAATATGGTAATACTTTTACTGAATTTGGATTGCACCAAAACTCAATCCCACATAAGCATGTATTGCAGCATTCTACATATCCATTCATCTACAGTTTTTTGCATCACTTATATCATGCTTTGCATTCATTATTCTTTAATTTCTTTTAGATTCCAAAAAATTTCACCCCAAAATATCAGATTTCCGAATTTGCAGGTTATTCGAGATCCTCTGAGCGTTGAGGAAGGGAAAAAAACTAATTAAATCATAAGTGAGAAATCAAATCTTAAACTTTCAACCTAATTAGTCTATAATTAGATACTAATTACAGATCTCATTTGCTGAAAGTGCTACATTTTCCCCAAAAAATTCACCATCTAAACGCGCCCTTAATTTCTTCAGTGCTTTGATAATCTTAGATTTCCGAGTTGCAGGTTATTCGAGATCCTCTGAGCTTTGAGGAAGGGAAATGCTTTTAAATCATAACTGTGGACAAATCTTAGCTTCCCATCTAAATCAGTAAGGTATATAGATGGTTCAGATCTTATTTGCTGAATAAATACATTTTCCCCATGAGATTGTAAATAACATAAAGAATTAATTTGTATGTGTTCTTTCGATTCTGAATTCTATTGCGTCACAGCGAGAATTGCTTAGAACCAATCATGATACTCCCCGATTTATATATAGTCTGTTCGGTTGGCTGGTTCGTATCGTTATTGGTTCGTTTATGTGAGAGAGATCTCTTCTTTTGGCTTGTTTTATATGAATAGTGTCCTAATATGCGGCCTTAGAACCAATCATGATACTCCCCGATTTGTGATAGCCTGCAATGCAACACTGTTGCAAGTTGCGATATATCCTAATTAAAATATCTTCCATTGATCTGGTATGACTAACGTTAAACGTTCAATGACATTTAATCTGCGTGCCATTGCCGATGTGCCATGCAGTGATTTATCTTCACACACTCACAGTCGATATGGCATGATTGAGTTAAAGAGAGACAAATTTAGCTGTATAAGAGATCTAAAAGTGACATCCTATTACATTTCCCCAAGATTATTTTTGAAGCATGGTTCACAGATAAAACACTGCGGGTACAAACTGTACAAGCTACAATTAAATTCAATTGTTTATGACTCCTCTCAGCTTGTTAGTAGTCGACGTTGCAATTGCTAAAAGCATGCCAACCAAGTAGATATTAAGTTACATATTTGTTGCATATATTAGCAGTTTAGCACATTGCTACATCAGCAGCCACATTGCTATATTAAGTTACTTGTTGCTCATATATGTTAAAAACTTTGGAGCTCATGTCCCTTATTCTAGATTGATCTCCAAGCCACATCATAGGAGTCATTTCGTCCTTGTCGGCTGGGCGCTCTAGCAAGGGCGCGGCTCCGCGCCTGGTTTTCTAGTTAACACGGTTGCTTTCTTTCAGTGATGGATGACGTGTCTGGTTAAAGAGTCTCATGACTTCTTTTCAAAATATTTAATGCAATAACAACCATCCTCAATGTAAAGTTGCATTTTTTATTTCATTAAATGACCCATCTAGAATTGGAAAACTGAGCCAAGAGAGTTTCGTCACCATAGAACTCACTTATATATTCTCTCTCTTCTAAAAAACATCGTCATGTCATAAAAAATGCTTATATTTAACAAGCATAAACCTAAATAAAATCTATAACTAAGTTATACATAATAAATGAGTATGAAATTTTTACTACAGTTTAAGCATATAATAATTAGCCCATCATAAAAATTCATCACAATTGGACCATAGAAACTGCAGCTATAAATTATTCCATTTAATTATAGAAAAACATAGATCTAAAGCTACAATAAAAATTTTGAACTAAAGCATACCATATTATATGTTCACTGTGTAGATCTCCTTATGTGGAGTCCAAAAAAATTAGATTTTTTATTTTATGATTTTTTTGTGATTTACTATTATTTTTTAAAGATTTAGCCAAAATAAATAATAAAAAAAAAGACAAAACCGCCTTTAAAATCGCTTATAACCTGGCCAGGGAGGTAAGATGAACGGTTTTAAAAGTTGAGGGAGTTGTATTGCCCGGTTTTGGAGTTCAGGAGGAAAAACGGATTTTCACGAAAATTTAGAAGGTAACGTGGACTTTTTCCGCTCCGGGAATAATCTGCTTAGTCGGCATAGTGGGCTCTGCGGGGGCAGTGTTGACTGTTGAGGTCAGGTGGTCGTGCCGAAAGCCCACAGAGGCCCATAACCCTTTGGATTCTAATTTCTGCCGGAAATCACGAACTGGATCCAAAATTGACGGTTTATATGAGATTGTCCACATGGATTCATCAATAAATAACTACACAAAATGCAATGCATTGCTAAGCCATCATAACGCTACCAAGTGGCTCATTTGACAAGATTATTCATGTGCTCTCTTTAGTCAGCACAAAGGACAGATAGAATGAACAGCCACCACTCGATTGGTCACCCCTAATTAGTGATCGTCTTTTTCAGAGTATCACACCGTGGCCCGTGGTGCGTGGGCCTAGTGCTGCTTCTAGCGCACACTACATAGTTGTAGCGGTAATTAGGCACTAGTTAAAGGTACTTTTGGTCATCATATCATATTGGATGTTGGTCCTGGAACCATCTAGGAGTATATGTTAGGCCATGCTTTGTTAAACATTTTTTTATTGTTATAAAGTAGTGCCATGTATGTGGTTTGGTGAACCGAAGGAAATGGCACTTTTTTTTAACAAATAACTACTAGTTATAAAGCAATTTTTTGCATTGTGGTAGTAACATGTACCATATCATAATGTTAATTCACTGCACCGACCCACCATGATTTGTAACTATAATCTTTGCATCGTGCTGTTAAAAGAAATCTCTGTTAATTAGTTGCTGCTAGGACATAAGGGATGGAGCAAAATGACGAGTTCATGAAGTGGTGAAGCTGGGAGATCCATGGAGGACAAAGATTATGTTGTTGTGTATTGTCCCGTGTCTGTCCTTCTATTTTGTCTCAAAGACTATTTTCCTCTGTCCCCAAAAGGACAAAAATCCCGATTCCCAATAAGGCGAATAACGCTTAAGATTAACAGCGTTTATATGAAATAGTATTATATTTTCAAACATGTTTATTATAAAAATACATTCCATAATTGGTCAAGCGGTACCTATTATCCCTAGTAAATATGACTATTTTTTAAATGTAATTAAATTTAGAATTGTTTGACTCCTCCGAAAAAGGAGACTTTCATTCTTTTTGAAAAGGAAGGAGTAAGATGTAGTGAGTAGTCATGTTTTGTTATGTTATAAATAAAAGAAGTTCTATTTTATTAAATGTATATGTGGATTAAACTAAGTCTTGTGGTAATAGCAACAATAGTAGAAGTAGTATACTCCCCTCCACCTATAAAAAATATAATTTTCACTTCTCGAGAAATCAAACAATTTTCAATTTTGATCACCTCTATAGAAAAAACTAAGTGCTAACATTATTTTTATATCAGATTGATTATGAAATATATTTTTAAGTAAATCTACTTCATGATATAAATATTGCTATTTATCCGATAAAATAGATCATATTTGGTGAACTGGAGCGTAGCTCAGCTGGTAGGGTTTCTTGTGGTGAAACCTGCTCATAGGGGTTCAAGTCCCCGCGGGTTCAAGTTCCCGACTTCACACGGGTGTTTCTTCGATTCTTCAAAGGTGCTCGTAAGGGTAGGGCGTGCGTGCGTTTATAGGGGTGAGTGTGCGCTCTTGTATGTGAGCGTCCACGTATGTAATTGGGTCTCGCAAAAAAAAAAATCAGATTTAGAGAATAAAAAAATAACGCTTGTCTCAAATCTCGAAACGCAACGGAGGCTTCATCAATCTCAAGATTTGCCGGTCCAACTCAGTTCTTCGATTCTTTGGAGGTGCTCATAGGGGTAGAACGTGCGTGTATGCGTTTGTAGGGTCGAGATGACGGACTAGTGGGGGTGAATAGTCATTTCTAAAATTAAACACGTCGGCTAACCGAGATAAATGCGGAATTAAAAAACGGTCTAGCCAAGACTACACCCCTATATCTAAGTTCACAAGCACCCTATAAAGATCATAATTAGGCAACAAAGATGTCGAGCTAGCTAGAGCTCACCTAATCAATTCTAGTAGCAAGGTCACACAAATCTATACAACTAGTACTTCAAGCAACGGGGGAGCTCCTACACAATCTAGTAAGCAAAAAGCACAAAGCTCCTAAGCTCATTAGCAATGCTCAATAACAAGGATACATAAGTCAAATTAGAGAGCTCAAATCATTTAGCTACACAAACTAATCAATGTGACTAACAAGGTTACTCAAACCAAATTAATCACGCAAGAGAGCTACTTCTATGCTACAAGCAATAAGGTAACTAGCAAACTACACACAGTCAACTAATTACAAGAGCAACTACACAAACACAATGTATATA